AAGGCGGCAGAAGAACGCTGTGTGCAGCTATGCGATGAAATGATTTCACAGGGAAGTTTCCCTTTTGAAGTAATTTCTCCAACGTCGTGCCACTGTCGCGCGACGGGAAATCTTCCTGCAGATGGCAGCCAACTTCATCCGGTATTCATGATCTAGTTGAGAATTGTGTTACAATACAACGTCGAAGGTTTAATTGACTTCACTAACTCAAGTTCGTCTGTGTATACTGTGCAAATATTACAAATATTATAGAACCGTTCTACAAGTGGCTGTCTCTTCATGTAACTACATCCCACAGTAATATTAGAAAGCGACATATAAGGCCCCTTATATTCAGCAGCTGACGGATGATTAACTTCAGTCGGATGTCAGTGGCCACCGTGCCGAGTTGTTCCAGCTCGACCCAACACCCATGTAGCGAATTTAAAAAACAAAACTTCAGTTAAAATATTCAAAATGGAAGCAGCATCGTGGTGGCATTTGCAATGGAAGGGCTTCGGAGAACATGCGAAGATTGTATGGGAGGTTCCTATCGTGGAGTTGATCGTCCTTATCTGTATTCTATATCAGCTGATAGTGCGGTATGTTCAAGGGAGAATTCAACGAAGGACTACAACAATCATGCTTGAGCTGAAACAACAGGTGCAGAACCTACAAGACAGAGAGGATCATAATCGTGCTTGTGAATGGATTAAGATCAAACGAGTAAAGTAAATGATGAAGGAAACAGACGAACACAGTGATGAGATGCGAAGTCACATTGAGTCACTGTTGGCGATAATAAAGCGGCAGAAGAACGCAGTGTGCAGCTATGCGATGAAATGATTTCACTGGGGATTTTCCTTCTTGAAGTCTTTTCTCCAACGTCGTGCCACTGTCGCGCGACGGGATATCTTCCTTCAGATGGCAGCCACCTTCATCCGGGATTCATAACCTAGTTGAGAGTTGTGTTACAATACAACGTTGAAGGTGACACAGACTTCACTAACTCAAGTTCGTCTGTGTATACGGTGCAAATATAACAAATATTATAGAACATTTCTACAAGTGTCTGTCTCTTCATATAACTACTTCCCACAGTTATATTGGAAAGCGCTATATAAGGCCTCTTATATTCAGCAGCTGACGGAGTAATAACTACAGTCGCAAGTCAGTGGCCGCCGTGCCGAGTGGACCCAGCTGGACGCAACACCCATTTAGCGAATTTAAAAAACAAAACTTCAGACACAACAATCAAAATGGAAGCAGCGTCCTGGTGGCGATTGCAATGGAAGAGCTTCGGAGAACAAGCGAAGGTTGTCTGGGAGGTTTCTATCGTGGAGTTGACCGACCTTATCTGTATTCTTTATCGGCTGATAGTGCGTTATGTTCAAGGGAGAATTCAACGAAGGACTACAACAATCCTGCTTGAGCTTAAACAACAGTTGCAGAACCTACAAGACAGAGAGAATAATCATCGTGCTTGCGAATGCATTAAAATCAAGCGAGTAAAGGAGATGATGAAGGAAACAGACGAACGCAGTGATGAGATGCGAAGTCACATTGAGTCACTCTTTACCATAATAAAGGCGGCAGAAAAACGCTTTGTGCAGCTATGCGATAAGATGATTTCACTGGGGAGTTTCCTTCTTGAAGTCATTCTCCAACGTCATGCCACTGTCGCGCGAACGGATGTCTTCCTGCAGGTGGCAGCCAACTTTATCCGGGGTCCACGATTTTCCCGTGTGAAACTCTTCATTTTTGTCGGTGACGGTCCCTGCGCCTTTTCTACTTCGGTTCTCCGACCGGCATTGCTTCGGCGTCTTGTACGGGTACCTCTCGTGATTCTGCCGCCTCAGGTTTCCTGTTCGCTGATGCCGGCTCTTCATCTTCTAGCCGTGCTTCCATATCTTGGCAGGCCATCTACAGTCCAAAGTTATTGCAATGGAGATCTCTTCTTGTTGTACCGCCGCAGGTTTCGTGTCCACCTGGCCGGCTATAGTCTCTTCCTGCCAGGCATTAGTGTCGTCGTCTAATTTCGTCAGCATGCTATTTGCTTTTTTTGATTGACTTCTAACTTCGCCAGGAAAATCTTCTCTGTCTTTTTTTCGGTTGGCTTTCATTCTCTTTTCCATCCGCACTCGGTCGGCATCTGCTTTCGCCAGCATTTCGATTATCTGCTGCATCTCCATTTTGTAGCAGTAAAATATTCGATGCACAACAATTCGTATGTGGCTTGTTTAAGATCGTAATCCCACTTCTGACACCAGTTGTCACATATTGGGTGTATAACGCGATAAATATTTTCACTCCGTATTTGATATAGCGAATTTTATTTCACATTCGCACTTACAATCACCCAAATTACAATCTGACAAATACTGCCATTGGCAGTATCGCAAATATTACACTGCAAATGCTGGTAACTCGTAACTCGTGAACTGATTCGGAACTAACTCGGAGGTAGCTCGAGGACTGTTGATAACACACTGACCCTCGCTTGCTGCTCAGCCGGCTTTTATTCCGTTCGCTGTTGCTAGGGTCGTCTATCGCAACCACTGTTTATCCGCGTTGCATAGCGACAAGTGCGCTGGGATTCGGCTCGCTTCGGCTCCGCTTGGCTCACTTCGGCTCCGCTCGGCACGTCACCGCCGCCGGGGGGTGGGGGTGGAGTGTTGTCCTGCGTAGCGCGACAAGTAGTAACGAGAGCCCTACGTTACCGCCACGTGCCGCTGGGGAGGTAGGGGTCCTCCGTTGCGCAACATGTCACAATATGGATCCCACTTCCTGGATTCGGCACCAAAAATGTCTTGAATAAGACCTCGAGGGGATATCCTTCCGACGTCACGTTATTACTATCTGAATGTAGAACTGTCCGTCTCTCTGTCCAGTTCAACCACTATCTTCTGTCGGCGCCCACTGCCCACTCTGCACACAAGAACTTTCTTCCTCTGCCCTCACAGTACACTGCTAGTCACACGTTTTGTCTCTCAGCCTTAGCTGTGAGCTCATCAAAAACTTACTGTTCATCTCCAGGAAGGTTTTGAGCACGTTGAATACAAGAGCCACAATTGTT